GCAGATACAAAAAATGCATGTGCAAATATATACAGAATAAATACAAAAGTTAAGTATAAGATAACTTGAGAGGGAGGGAATTCAATCATTAGTTGGGAAAGACTCTACAACCTTAAACCCGTGTACCCTTTACTTGTACTTCTTACACCTTCAGGGACAGCTAATGAAGTGAGGCTTAGCTAAGTGAAACTTATTCTTTTTTTCTTAGGCTTAAATTACACTCTGACAAACAGTGTTTGAGGATTCACCTTCCAGGGACATCCATAAGGAACCATCAGTGACCTGTGAGGCACTCACATCCTGGAACCCTGACCAGCTAGCTATTTTATTATCCATCAACAAATCCTGCTGGGACATAGAAGTTATGAACAAGGCTCTTCTTCCTCACTTTAGAGGGAACACCCACCACATTGTCATCCAGTTCCAGAACACTTGATCCTAAGTGTTGGGGAAAGAGTAACAGCCACTGCTTTCCTCTCCACCCTCTGAAATGACCCACTTACACCCAGGACAAATGAAAATTCTGCTAACTTAGGTCTCTAATCTTTCTGTCTATGGATTTCTTATCACTATATTTGGGTAACTATATAGATCTTTGTATCTCGCTATAATCCCTATGTAACAATATTCTTTAACTATGTCTCTTTCTAAACACAACCCTTTGTCTCTCTGTGTTTACACAGTAACAGAGTTGTGTACATATTCATATACACATATACACATATTTATCTTTCCAAATATAGCTCAGTCTGTATGTATTTGCTTTTCTAGCTCTGTCTCAATGTTTTAGGTCTGCTATGGCCCATCTCTTTGTTTCAGTTGTTATTGATCTATCATTTTTATCAGCAAGAATCAGGCATTACTGGATTTTTCCACCTAACAGTGGCTACTCCCCCTCATCTCCACCCCCACCTCGAGTACAGGGATTCTTCCATTTTTCTCTTTGTATCCTCAAATATAGGAGCTTACAAGCAGACAGTACATCACTTCGGGACCTGGCGAGTTTTGTTAGGTGCTGGGTTTTCCTTTTGGGGTATTTGCACATCAGTACTGGGGAAAGAGTGAGAGAGACCAAGTACCTCACCAGTTCCTGAAATTATCCCCTCAAAGAGAGAAAACTTACCCTGAAGATATGGTTTTATAGCAACATAAGTCCCATAGTTTTGTGGGGTTTTTTTTGGCTCTCTGCCTCTGCACTTCTACTTTTACACGACACTCATTGTTTCCTGTGACTTGACTCCTCTACCTAATATTGTCCTTGTACAGTTTTTTTGGTATTACCATATAGGCATATACAAATTTCATTTCCTTGGCTCAAATATAAACTCCTAGTGGCCAGGAACTCTTTAATTTTCAGATACCCAAATCACAGAATCTGACAAACAGTAGCTATTTAATTATTGATAGACAATGCCCCTGGGTAGGATCACGTGTGTTCATCATATACTGTACATTGAAACCATAAGCACAGCCTCTCCTTTGGTAGATTCCTAAGTAGAAAAAATATAGTTTAAGGGGATCATTTCTTGTTTGTAAGGTAAATTAATATACTGCTTTGAAGTATATGTTTATAACCTCAGGGTGAGTTAGGCTAAAAGCATAGTCAGCTTTTTTTCCCCCTAGCGACTTTAGAAAGAAATCTCATTGGGCTGTGTACCTTTCTAGTCTAAAATCTGTCTACCTCCTTTCTAAGATAATGCTAGCTTCTTCCAAGGTTATTTGTGGGCTGTCTCTAAGAGTAACTGAATATCTGCCACCCTTTGGCTAATTATGAGAAACTGCACACTCCTCCAAATTACAATTACGAGCATAAAAAGACTGTATAAAATCTCAACCACATATTCCCTGAGCAATAAATAAGTACTCCCAAGCCTTCAAGGCAAGATTTTAGAATGAGAATTTGCTAAGTAGCAACATAAAGGAACTTTAATCCCTTCTCTCAGGATCAAATTACATTCTCTTAGAGATCTACTTGCCTAAAGATTCAGTGTAACCTTCCTTTCACACACCTAGGAGCCAATACTAAAGACCCTTCTCTGGCCTAATGAGAGAGTAGTTGGATTTTGGCAAACTTATGCATCATATTGGGACCTAGGCATCAATGCTATATGTTTCAGTAAACCCACTTTAAAAGGTAAGTATATGTCTTGAGTTTTCTGCTATAGGTCTTCAGAGCTAAATTTTGTGTTATCTAAGCCTTGACTAGTCTTTGAGAATTGGAGACCCAGAAACAAAGTTCTTGAGGTCTCCAAGAATGGACTTAGGGGCCTGGAGAACTGAGTATTCCTAGGTATAGAAACAGAATTTAACTCAAAACATATAGTTCATGATTTCTTTATCTACAGAACTTAATACCTAGGTGTAGCATCCTATAGAATTCAACATCTCAATATGATGAGGTCTTGGGGTGCCTCCAGAACTAAAGGCCAGCTCTATATGGATTGAGTTCCCTTGTTCCCTGACAGAAATCATAGACATTTGGAGAACTCAAGGCCTGGATTTTAGGGTCTTAGAAAACTGAAGCCCCAACTCCCTCTCTGGGTTGCTGTATCTCTTCACCAATTTCATCTACTATGGGAAGACACCATTCTGGGGCCTGCTTGCCGTATATGGAGTTCTCTAGATTTCTAAGTGTTTAGTACTGTAAATACAATATTAGAGAATTGAAAACCTACGGAATGAGGTCTTGGATTCTTTAATATTCTGAGAATTTAAGTTCTATAGGTCTTGTTTTATAAGGTGAGTATTAAACTCAGCCCCCAAAGTTAGGGGTTATTAGTAGTCTCTAGGACTGTAAGTCTACTAGCTTTAGTGACTGAGTCTTAGCTTCACATCTCTGACCTAGAATAATTGGGAATTAAAATGTCATCTCTAGGGTATAAATTATATCCACTTCTGGGTCTCTAAATCTTTAGGATTCTAAGGCCGGGCTTAGAGACCTAGAAAATTAGATCTATAGGTCTAAGACAGGGGTAGGGAACCTGTGGTCTTGAGGCCACATGTGACCACCTAGGTCCTTGGGTGCGGCCTTTTGACTGAGTCCAAGTTTTATGGAACAAATCCTTTTATTAAGGGTATTTATTCTGCGAAGTTCAAAGGGCAGCACTTGAGGACCTAGAGGGCCACATGTGGCCTTGAGACCATAGGTTCCTCACCCCTGGTAAGATATTGAATTCTCTAATTAAAACTTTAGGGACTTAGAGAACTCAACACCTAAACTCTTGGGCCTTAAGATCTCTAGGAATCAACCTCATTGCAGTAAGTGTTCTATATCTCAAAGACTTGAGATATAGCTACCTACAGAATTCAAGCCCTGAAAATCTAGGTACCTAAGTCAAATATTAAAGACTTGGAGCAATAGAGAACTCAAACCTTAGCAATCCAGCTTTAGGCCTTCATGTGTTGGGAGTGTCTAAGAGTCTAGAAAACTCAAGACAGACTAGTAGAGTTTAAAAGAAACAAAGACCAAAAAGGAACAAGACTTGGAGTTCAATCCATCACTTAGCTGTTCAAGAAGATTTTACTGAAGTATAGTCAGTCAGATTTTATAATGATGAACCTGTGATATGTCATCGTGTCCCAGCAGATCCTATGTCAGTGGAGAAAAGCCATGCTAAATCTTTGGCAGAGTGCAATTTGAGGTTAAGTGAGAGGAGAAAATGTTTCACTCACCAGCAAATTCTTCCTTTACAATCTAAGCTTTAAGATTTTTTGGGGGAAACACGGTTGAACTTTAGGAAATTTTTTCCATGTTCAAGATTATTCTTTTGGGCACTTTCTCAGATTCATTGTAATGATGATACACCTTCTGTTACTTTGGGTTGGCAGTCATATCTCAGTGTAGACAGCCTGCCAGGTCAGGCACTACCCAAAAACAACACTGGAAGAAGCCACTGCTATGTTAGAATGTGGCAGATGATCAACGGTGCACGTGAATCATGGATACAGTCCGGGGAGCATTTCCAGGTTTAACCACATGCAAACTTGGGTGAGGCTTGTATAGTGTAATGATCAGAACATAGAAAAGCTGATGAACCAGAACAACCTTCCCCTTTGTCGCAAAGAAGAAGCCAGGATTATGCTGTTAGCATCTGGCAGTCTCTTTCACTTATCTTTGGTGAATTATTCCAAGATGTCTAGAAGTGTCCAGGTGAGTTTGGGTGATCCAGGAGCAGGAGAGGCTAAAAAATGGACTCAAAGTGATATCCACACAACAAAATGCTGCATCAGAGAGCAGTGTTGGCTATAGGTTCTAGAAAAGGACATACACTCTGAGCCCACTCTCCTTAGGGATGTTGGGGGTTTTATGGGAAATGACACCCTGGGTTTTGACAGGATATTTTTTGTTTTACCATCTGTTCTTACTATAGTAAATAACCTTTGGCTGATCAGTAATGGGGAACACACCTGATCAATGCTCAGGAGTAGGAGTACTGGAAGTATAGCCTCCTCTAAGGTATCCCTACCTTGTGAATTCAAGTAGAAATGTGGGGATTAAGCCCAGAGGCAGTACTGAAAATGGCTGTAGGTCAAAAGTATTTATTAACTGTTACCATAAGAGCAAAAAAACACACAAAACCTCAGTAACTATTTCTTCTACCTAGGAAGACTATCTGACAACGTCTGGTTTTCCACTTGTGTTTTCACAATAAGTAATAAGAGGATCCAATCCCATACTGGGGCTTTATTGAGTCAATCAATAAGTAGCTGCTATTGGTCATGTCTGGAGAAAGATACAGGAACAGAAGAACTATAACAGACTCATACTTAAACCTGTGGGAATGTTTTACTTCCAAAACATCAGACTCTCACCATTTTTAGCCTCTATTCAAGGGAACCATTTCCAAGTTAGGAAAGGTGATGATTCTGTCTTGCTCTTTCCCCAAAATTTAGTAGCAAAATCCATTTTGTAGAGAGTTTTATAGGAGCTATGATGACCACCACACTAAAAAATGAAGGGAGATCCAGAAACATAGCTTACTTATTCAACCAGCACTTACTGAATGATAGAGCTTAGCAGGTCACATGTCAAGGAGAAGGCTGCCTCCAAAATTCCTCCTAGATCATGAATAGGTTTTTATATCTCCTGAGATCCTACAGTATGTCTCTGGTGGGCAAGATGCACTGAATCCACAGATTACTCTTTGGCAGTGTGCAATTGAAGCCTAGAAGAGAAAAAAAGGTTCATATCTGTTGGCACTTGTCAGCAAATTCTTGCCTTAATTTCTAGCCCAGAGGGGTACACATGGTTGAGCTTGTGGATAGCCTTTCTTCATTTTGGGATCAGATGAGGTAGAATGGGGTGCTGTCATGAGAAGTCTCTTAGCTTTAGTCTAAGGACAGCATTTGCATTTTGTTACTTTGGAAAGCACGTGATATCTCAGGCTATACAAACACCCATGTCAGATCCTAATCTAAGAGCAACTTGGCAAAAAGTTAGCATTATCTCAGAATGTAGAATGGTGAGAGAAACATGGAAAGCCTAGCCAGGCTTATTTCAAAATTTACTGGGGCCAGGGCAACTGATCAATGTTTACTATGCAAACTTGAGGTTACCATTGGCTCCCCATCAAAAGAGATATATTAACTCAACACAAAAGCTTTAAAAGATACACTAAGATAGAAGGTACATAAAGAGCTATAGAATAGAAATATACACATGTGGACAAGATATAGACATATAGCAAGAGAGGAGAGAATGAGATAGAAGGCAGATTGAGAAAAATGAAAGATACATGGAAAATAGAGATAACCAGGGTGACATTAGGCACCAAGATGAGAGAATAAGTATATAAGATAGACTTAGAACTCTAGAAATGGAGACCTAACTTTAGACCCAGATCCCATGGTGCATGAGAATGAGGGAGATAACTTACTACAAAATCATGCCAGGCTCATTGCCATTTTTCCTAGGTTTAAAGGTAAATGAGGTAATGAGTCTCCTACTCTTTCCCTGCCATCCAGAAGCAAATTCCCTCTAACTAGTTGGTTATGTGATAGGTGTTACCACCACACTACTGAAAAGTGAAATGATAGACATGCATAACTTACCTATTGATGCAGGGTTTACTGGAAGATATACAATAGCTAGCAAGGACCTCAGATGATGTACTCTGGCTTGTAGCTTTCCTGTACAACCAACCCCCAACGTCCTTGGCACTTTTAAATGGCTCACCAGACATGGTTTCATCAGTGGAAATGACACCAAAGAGAATAAGAAGCACGGGGTCTTTGAATCACATTTGTGAGTGAAGCCCTCTGTATGAGCCAAATTCCCCTAATGTGAACTCATTGAGATCAGGGACTGCCTTGCTTTTCTCTTTATATCTCTAGTGCTTTGCACAAGTGTGAGGACTTGATCAATGTTTTTCGTTTCAGACTCATTCTCAATCACTTTGTCCAGGTCCCTGAGTTTATTTTCTCCCAGCTTAGGTCTACTTCTTCCCCAGATCTTAAAGAAGCTTGGCCACCACCTTCTGCTCAGTCTAGGCTATAGTCTTGATCCCTTCATCTGTATTTGGCTTAGTGCTGCCCCCAGATCAGATCAAATAGCCTTCTCAATCTAATTTTTGGAGTCCCTCAGCTCCTATATTTTTAACACATCACTAAAACTATTCAGGTCTCCCACAGATTGTCCTTTTAATTTTCCAGTTAATAATATGCCTTTCTCGCTAACCTCCAAATCACCCTACATGGGATAGTAGTGTCCATCACAAGCAAGGTTATATGTGTCCCCTGCCCACCAGGCTCAGAGGACAGGTAAAGTTATATTAAAAAATGAAAACCACTTCTCTACACAATTAGATTAAAATTTTCTTAGGAGCAAGTAAATGAGCTTTCTCTCTCACTCTTAGCCTCTCCTAGTATAAAGATGGCCAAATCTAAGAACCATGGTACCTACAACAAGTCCTGCAAATGGCATAGAAATAAGATCAAGTAACCTAAGTCACAGAAATACAAGTCTCTGAAAGAAATTGACCCCAAATTTCTGAGAAAGATACGCTTTCCTAAGAAGATACTGAAGACAGGCTGATAATACCCAAGTTCATGAGCAGAGGCCATGGTAGCCCTCAGGCCCAAGATCACAGACCCCAGAGTCAAAACCAGACACATGAGCCCCAAGAACACCAAGCCTGACTCTGAGGTTGCTAGTTCCACTCACCCTAAAGCAGTCAAACACAAAACTGCCACTGCTAAGTCCCCTGGAGTTAAGGCTACTACTCCCAAGTCTTCAAAAGAGATGCTTTAGGACAGAAATGGAAAGGCAAGAAAAAAGCATTTATTAAATACTTGATATGTGCTAAGTGCTTTATGTAATGTTCTGTCATTTGGTCCTCACAACAACCTAGGGAAGTAGTGTGATCTACTTATCCCCATTTTATAGATGAGGACACTGAGGCAGACACAGGTTAAATGACTTACCCAGGCTTCACACAGCTAGTAAGAGTCTGAGGCCACATTTGAACAAGTCTTCCTGACTCCGGGACCAGTGGTCCATTCACTGTGTCTCCTAGCTGCTTCTAAGGAGGTGGTGAGTCACCAAAAGGAAATTACTATTAAAAAAAAGTAAAATTTATTTTAGGTACTTTGTCACTTACCATTTTGTGTACCTTCCCAGACATTAGTATATTCTGTCCTACGTGAAGAAATGCAAATATACCAAAACCCAAACTTATCAAATTGGAAAATTCCAGAATGACTCTTCTTTTCACAAAAAAAGATTTGTCATATGAGCATTGCTCTAAGAATGCATTCCTTTTTGAGCTCCTAGAAAGGGATTGTGACAGAGCAGGCATAGCGAGGAGGAAAGTACAACAAACATTCCCCCCAAAGCAGCAGTGCCCAGTTCCCTCACTATATCTACTTGGTCTCTGGAGAGAATGGACTGAAACTTAAAGTGGTTACTAGAAACCATCATTTCCCCAAACCAGGAGTTGGGGGATACTTCCTAGCCTTGGGAGTCCTTTTCTCCCTTCAGAAAGTTCCCACCACGTCATGTGGGAGAGAGTACTCAATGCCTCATATTAGTTCTTTGACCTCTCTTGAAAGCTGCCAGGGAAGAGGGTGACAGCCTAATAAATGTTAAAATGCCATATCATTCAATGATAATTGAAATACCCCCAATACCAGAAACATATCTATTACAGGGCTATGCCCCCCCCAAATACTTATTTTATGAAAGAAATGTTCTTATTGCTTCCTGCTTCAAATCTTTCCCTACTCCAGGCCATTTTCCATTAATCTTTTATCATTCAGTCATTTTTTCAGTTATGTTTGACTCTTTGTGACCCCATTTGGGGTTTTCTTGGCAAAGATACTGAAACAGTTTACCATTTCCTTCTCCAGCTCCTTTTACCGATGGGGACCTGAGGCAAACAAGGTTATGTGACTTGCCCAAGGTCACACAACTAGTAAGTGTCTGAGGCTGGATTTGAACTCATGGAGGTGGGTCTTCCTGACTCCAGGTCTATCACTCTAGCCACTGCAATGCCACCTAGCTATCCCTTCCACTAACCTATCAAAGAGGTATTCCTAAAGCATAAGTCTAAGCATGTCACCAATTTAATACCTCTAGGACCAAATATCAAATCCTCCGTTTGCCTTTTAAAGTCCTCCATTACCTGGCTCTTTCTACCTTTCCAGTCTTCTTACGCTTTATTCCCCTGCATGATTTTGACCCAGTGGCACCAGCCCCCTTACTGTTCCTTGCACATGGCACTCTGTCTCCTGACTCCAAGCATTTTCCCTGACTTTCTTTCATCCCTGGGATGCTCTGCCATCTCATCTCTGCCTCCTGGGTTCCTTTAAGTCTGAAATAAAATTTGACTTTGTGTAAGAAGCCTTTCCAGGTCCCCCTTAATGCTTGTCCTTCCCTCTGAGATTACCTTTAATTGTCCATCTAGATATCATTTGTACATAGTTATTTGTGTGTCTCCCTGTTAGATTGTGAGCTCCTTGAGGGCAAGGATTAATGTTTGCTTTTTACTGTATCACCAGTGCTTATTATAGTGTCTGGCACACATTAAGTGCTTAATAAACGTTGGTTGACTTGACCTGACTGAGCTAGTTCAACAGCCGTCTAACAACAGGTTGTGGCTCTTGTCTTTCTCTAGTCTAGGGAGACTAAGTTTTCTGTTCTGAAAAGGAGACTTGATCATTTCATTTCTAGGCTCAAAACCTCATCTTGGATCCTTCCAAGTTATAATAAAGTACCTTGTTTGGGATTCTTTCATGCATTTGTCCTGTTGTACTGCTTATTCCAACTATCTATTTTGCTGTCTTGTGCTTCTAGGAGACTATGAGCTTTGCGGCCAAGGACCAGGTCTGATTTAGACTTGGTATCTCCCCCAGTCTGGCAGAGTGCTCTGGTGAGATCCAGTGCATCACTTGGAAACTGAGAGCAAAGCAGCAAAAGACTTGGATTGTTCTAAAATGCACAGATTGTTGATGTATTCATCCTGTGTCCTCTTTAGAGTTACAGTGTTTTCTTTTTATAAATAGCAGTGCACTGGCATGGGGAAAGGAGACAAGTCAGGGAGATAGCCTAAGCTAGGTCACACAGAAGAGACCACTTGGAATGAACACACTGGGAAGCACTGAGAAATGGACATTGTTGGCCACCATTTGGAGGAGGGGAGGATGGGGGATAACGTAACAAGGAGCTCCTGGGTAAGGAAACTCCCCCTATCAATTCAGACACTTTCTTTGAGAGTTTCTTATAACACTAAAAAATGAAATTACTTGGCCAGGGCACTTCACAGAAGGCCTTCGTCACCTCCTTAAGTGACAGGTGTTTTGGTGTAGCCCATCACATTATTAAAGGCAGTGTTCCAAATGAGGGCCCCAAAGGGGAAAACATCAGAGGAGTTCATGGGAATCTCTCCAGGCTCTCACTTAGAGTGGCGATCCAACTTCTGCAACCTGTTTGGGATATGTTTTCTCTGACCCTGGGTCTATGTTCTGCTACGAGGTCTTGGTCCAAACCACAGGATGAGTGAAGTCAACTGGGGGATCATCACAACTTCTAGGGAGGAGCTCTTCTCCAGAGGATTCCATCTTCCAAGTCTTTTACTGATACTTTCACCAGTGAAATCTTTTGGGGCTTTAAGTGGCCATGTGGGTCAGGTTCTCCACCCAAAGTGATAGCTGCACTTCTCTAAGTGTGGCAAGTGACTCCTCTAGGAGATGAGCATAAGCAATCTCTGATTCTTTTTCCCTACTTGCCTCATCAGCCTCAAATTCTACTGGCTCCTTTACTCAAGCTAATGGAGCTAATACAACAGCCTCTTCACTTTACTGTCCTCTGCCTCCTAATCCACTGGATACCACTCTACAGCAATACCCATAATCCTTCCTGTGCCAGTAGAGGTGGATAAGCTATCAAGTTATAGTAAACAGAAACTCTGCTGAATTTTCATCCAGATCATGCCAAGTAAGGATGGGTGCCCCCAAAGCTGTCTTGGGTCCTCTTCTCTTCTCCCTTTCTGATAAATGTCTGAGAGCAATAGGAATTATACTTGTGTTTCTATTGACATAGAGAACTTATAGTGAGGTTGGCACCTTACCTGCAACTTAGAAAGCATTGAAGAATTTGTAATAGATTAATGTTGTCACATGCAAGCCTCTTTCTCTGTTCTTTGTTAGATAAGGAAAAGGGCGTATTTGTTGATGACAGCTACCTTCATACAATAATAAAAAACTGTAAAAAAAACCCCACTAAGATATGGAAGAATTGTGATTTGTGTATCTATAGAAAGCATAATCATACTGATGAAATCATAATTTTTGAACATCTAAAGAAGACAGTAGTATTGCAGAATATAACTTTCAGATGTCTACAGAAGGCAACTACATTTATCTAAAAAACTTTCCTTGGAATCAACGTCCAAAAACAGAAAACTAGTTTAATAGAATATGGCCTTCTCACCACTACTCATTTCGTTTATTAACAAAGACTAAGCAGTAGTTTCTGATTGCAGTATTTGGAAGAACACATATTCCAATAATTCTCTAGCACTTCTTCTCTGATTAGACCTCTGATGCAGGTTAAGATACAAAATGAGATATTAGATCTCATCCCAAAAGTTAGATTCCTAAACAAAGTTTCTTTTACTACAGGGTTAATTCCAGTAACTTGCCCAAAAGGCCTTAAGAACATAGTAGTAAGAGGGAATAAAAAGAATGACTCAAAGCTAAAAAAAAAAAACTTGTAATTTTTTAAAAAGCCACCTAATTTGAAATTTGAAGTCTGGTGATAAAACATAAAAAAAGAAGACTCAGACTTTTTTTTAAATTTTAATTACAACCTAAGAACATCTTTGGATACTGACTCCAAGATAATTGATTTAACATGAGAATTGTTAACATGCATTGCTATTGCCTCTTTGCTAATATTTTATTCAATATTTTTGTGTCAATATTAATTAAAAATATTGGTCTTTATCTTTCTTTGCTTCTTCTCTCTCTGGCTTAGGAATCAGGACTATATTTGTCTCAAAGAAGGACTTTGGCGGGATAACTTCTGTCCCATTTTTGAAAACAATTGATATAATATCAAAATTCAATTTTCCTTAGAATGTTTCATAGAATCTATTGGTAAATCCATTTGGTTACAAGATTTTATTTATGGCTTGTTCAGTTTTTTCAGTGATTGTGTTATTTAAAATCTTTGTTTCTTATTACATTTTTCTAGATATTTTATATGTTTGTAACCATTCATTTCATTTAGCAATTTTGCTGCCATATAATTGTATAGAATAGTTCTTAATAATTTCCTTTATTTTGCCATTTTTGTTATGAATTCTCTTTTAAAATTAGTGATATTGGGAATCTGACTTTCTGCACTTTCTAAAATCAGATTAGCTAATAATTTATCTACTTTATTATTTTTTCCTTCCAATTTCCTTCTAATTCTTTCCTTCTCTTTCTTTTTAACATTCTATTTAAACACAAGCCTTTATTCTCCCTAACCCCACATGCATATAACATCCCTGCCCCTAAGTCCAAACTCCATCTTAGGGTCTCATAGGAAAAGAAAAATCCTCACTTTTATAAAGACCTAGAATGTAAACTGAGGGAATCTGGATTCAGAGGACTTTGATTAATCTTTGGCTAGAGATCTTGTTTTCAATTCCTTTTAATGTCTTCTTCTAGTATCTGGAAAAATGTAAACTCCTTTAGAATGAGGACTATTTCTTTTAATTCACAAGTGTTTCTGGAATTGTTTGAATACCATTGCCCTCTTGAAGAAGAAAGGCCAAGCCCACCAACATCTGTACATCCATTTTACAGAAAAATGCTCAGGAGGGCTCCTTCAAAGATGTCCCTCACTTGATGAACTAAAATACTATCTAACTGTAAAATCAGACTCAGTATAACACCAGGTACAATTGGTAGAGTCATTTGTGGCCTGTGATTATAGTGGACTCCTCACAACTATCCTGTAAGGTTGGTGGTACAAATATTTCTAAGCTCATACTTCACAGACAGACTAATTGAGTTGAGGTGGGGTAATGATACT